ACCCGGTTGATTCCATGATTCTATAATATCCATATAAGAACCGTGGAGCTACTCAAAAGAATTGAATGTCTTGACTTACGTCTTTAACCGCCTCAGACGCACCCAAAAATTAGTTGCCAGTTCGTATCACACATTCTGTTTGTCCCTATGATGTGTGATTTGTACAATTCAAATTGCTTTTTTCTATATATTATAATCCCTTTCCTGTAATCAGAGTCTTTAAAGTCATCCAATTCTTTGAGTATAAAAGCAGATTTTAAGGTTATGTTCAACAGAACCAGAAGCACTGGATGACAAGCAAGCAGTTTAAAAAGCCTTTACTCTCTCTCCCCCAAGCTTTTTCTGTACATATATCTGAAGGTCCTTCATATTTCTTCTGTACTTGTGTCTGAAGGAAGGAAACTATAACCTGTGTCTTGTTTGGTCTCTACTTTCTCATGCTGTCAGAACATGCTAAGGAAGACATGCATTAGGGCCCTTCTGAAAACAGTTCTAACCTCCACCGATACTGAACTAGACACTGTGGAAATGTGTGCTTTTCTGATTCTGGCACCCTTGTGACCCTCAGTCAAGCCCCACATATGCTTTTCAGAATATGAAATGATTGCACTGTAAATTAGTAGCAATATGCTTATTCTCTGGAAATTTTCCTTGCATCACAATCAGATCTGGGAACAACAGGAATGCTTACTGTTCTCTGCAGAATTACCTGGTTCTATCAGAGAAGAAACAACATTGCCTTTATTTTCAATCATGTTTCTCATAACAAGGAACATGATCTACGAAGAACTCTTAAACATACCTCTGCTCATCAGCTTCCTTTCTTTGCGCCTTCTTACTTAATGCCAAACTCTTATCAATCAGTTCTGTTGAAGCATTTTCCAGAAGTACTTTGTCTCCTGGTTTCACTACGTTTTTCAGCTTGGAGTGCAGGTTTTCTATGTCAGCCTTTGCGGAGTTGAACTCTTCTTGTTTCCATTGTGGGGTTTGATGGACCTCCTCTGAACTACTGAGCTCCGCTGTGGCAGCCTGGACTTGAGCTTCATAGTCCTCGAGGAGCCTGGCAGCCCTCTGGACAGCCTGGGTATAAAGTTCTCCAATTCTACATGCCTCCTCCAGAGCACTCTGAAAGCATTAAAAAGACAAAGGAACAATCAAGAAAGGCTGCTGTGCTCCTCTGTATCACCTGGATGTTCTTCACAGAATGTCACACACAGTCGTCTTTGAGACCAATGCTCCCAGAAGTGGCCTGAGGAGGTGAGAGAGGACACCTGGCAAATGCACACTGCTACCTAGGTAGTCACAGAACAGTGCTGTAACCTGTGGATTGATCGCCCTCAGCCACAGGACAGTGGTTATGAGTGAACTGCCTATACTGGAAATGTCCAGACAGAAGGATGGCAGGACAGAAGAGGCCTAAGATTCCTTCATGAACATGGCAGTATATGTCCTGTTCAGACAAGGAAAACCCAGATGATGTTGCTTTATTCTGCTCCAGAGGATATCTGCACTACAACTTACCAAACTGCTTCTCACTAAACCCTCTTTTTGTATGTGTTTCTACACAGAATGTGTGACTTCGTCAGCACTTAGATGCCCACAGGGCAGAGAAATTTTGGCATTGTGCTTTCCACTCAAGCCATAAAAATCAAGTGCAGCAAACTTGGAAATCTGGCAGCAGGACCATAAATCCATCAGGGATTCTAAGTCCCTTTCCCTGCTATAGCTACTACCTCCTATTTCCTCATTTGTATCTACTGATCTCTTTTTTCAGCAGGACACAGTTCCAGAACCTCCCTGCTATCACTCTTCTGGTTTCCAACAAACTTAGTCATTAACTCTTGCTCCTTGTATTAACACTGCCCTTTACGTTAAGCAGTCCTTTTCCACTCATTAAGCCTGCCTCCAGCCTAACTATGTTTCTTAGCTAGATTTCCCACTTGCCCTCACCTCACCAGGTTAAGCAAATTCTGTTCTATTAACTGTCCTCAACATTCTTGATCTGTTTAACAGCATCAGTTCCAGTTCGAGTGAACCTTTCCAGACAAAGGCACTGAAAATTTGAGTCAATCCTCCAGCAATATCTTATATAGCTGTGTTAAAGCCTGGGATCCCAGCTGCGTTTTCTTTGCTCACTCTTCCTGAAGCCTGATCACATTGGTTTGACCTGTGTTTTACTCTTCTTGATCATTCCCAACTGGTAAAACTTTTCTTTACAGTAGAAACAAGGAGCTTGTCTTTTTTCATCCTTGTCACTATTGAAGATGTTACCTAAAATCAGACCCAAGAATAATGGTAGGACAACTGGACCCTGTCTCTCTTCAGCTGAACATTTCAACACAACCTTTTCCTTCCTCTCCTTTACCTTTCTTCTCTTGTGCTAATCCCCACTGAGTGGCTATAATCAAACTGAACACAACTAATTGCTTTGCATCCTTAGTTTCTATCATGATTCCCAACATACCTAGCAATGCAGAGATGATGATGGGCCAACGCAGCTATTAGAGTAAAAGGAGGACATAGGTAATGAAAATATAAACACTAGTCACAGATCCCTAATCTAACTACTGGGGAAAGACATATGCCTATTAAATATACTTACAACACGGGCAGCAATGTCTGTCTTCAGTTGTATTTCATGGCCTTGTAGTGCCTCTAATTTTGTTTCTATACCAGCAGCAAGAGATTTTTCTTCTTGGTTTTCCTTCTCTTTTTCCATGGTACATTTAATAGCAGAAAAAGTTTCTTGCATCATATTCTGAATTGCTTCCCAACGCAGCTTTTCGGCCTGCATTGTTTCTACGTCTATCAGAAGAGGCTGCTGCAACTCTGACTCAATATGCTTTGTGATGCGGAATATATTTTCTACTTCATTCTGGGTATCTTCCTTGTTTACACACTGGAGATCAGAGATCAAGTTTTGAAGAAACTGATTCAATTTCTCAACATCGTTCTCCAGGCTCTTTATTCCTTTCTGCTTTGATTCTTTGAATGCTGTATCAAAGACCTCATTTTTGTTTATTTGATTTGCTGCCTCCTGGGTTAAGTACAAGATTTGTTGAACTGTCTGCAACAGAATCTGTGCAGACACGAGATTCACAGCAGGAGAGGTGCTAGAGCTATCACTTAGGATGTTAGCTTCTCTTCTTACAGTGGATGTCGCAGCCTGGATTTCATTTAGCAGTACTTGAATCTTATCCCATTCCCGAGCAGCATTCTCAAAGTAGCTTAGCTTTCCTTTAATTTTATTTTTAATTTTAAAAAAATTAGTCTGCAATTCATCCAGCTGCAGTGAGTCCCATTTCAGACCTACACACTCAAAGATTTCTTTGTACTTTCTTATTTGTGACAAATTTGACTGAAAAGCTAATACTTTTTCTTTAAGTGCTTTGAATTTCTCCCTCAATCCCTGCTGGGCACCTAATAATTCATCTTCTTTCAGGTTCATTTCACCATCCTGTAGATTATTAAGATCTTGCTGCAATGAAGCTATTCCTTCAGCAAACTCTCCGTAGACAGCTATCTTCTTTTCTGCTTCATGAAGTTTACTCTGTATTTGCCTCTGTGTCTTCCTTGCTCTATTCTTCAGACTCCTTAACTGATCAGTCAAAAATATTTGTTCGGATAGGCTCAGCTCCCCAGCTGTGACCTGACTATCTTTACAGTGGGATGAGATAAGCCCTTCTATTTCTTGTATGTCCTTTAACATTTCCTTTAAAATGGCTTGTTGAGTGACTAACTCTGAGCATGTGCTGGTTTGGTTCATGTCAGGCCTGGCAAGCAGCTCAGCATTTTGAAGCTGACAGTGAACTTTTTCTACTTCTGCAGTAAGTCTTTGCCTCTCCACCAGCTGGAGCTCTAAATGCTGCAATCTTTGAGCTGATTTTAAAACAAGAGTCTTGTATGAATTCTGCAATGTTTGTAAAAGGAAGGTCATATCAGAGACCTCCTCTGGCTCCAAGGTGGGAAGGATGTGCTGGAGCCCATAATCCAGTGACACAATCACAGGCTCTCTGTTTGCCACTTCTTTGCTCATAAGCTGACAACTTCTGATCTGTGATTTGACATCACTGGGGAAAAGTGCTGCTTTCTGATCAAGGTGTGACAGTGAATCTTTGACCCATGAAATATTTTCTTTCAGCCTCTTCATCATTTCATGTTTCATGAGAGCAGGACCAGTGATCTGAATATCCTCTTGAGGAGTCTGTTGCGCTGATAGTGCTTCCAATTTGCTCTGCAAATCATGTATAGAGTTCTCCAAAGCTACCTTCTCTTGGTCACTCCAAATTCTTTTCATCTGTAGTTCAATCCTTCTTTTTAATAGAGAAAGTCCATGTTTAATGTCTTGTAGCTCTGTGGTCCAAATTAGAGGGTCTTTGGCTTTTCCTGCAGCTGAGGAATGTGACTCTGCTTGTACATACTGTTCTCGTATCAGTCTCTGAATATCCTGCGCTTTATTCATGAGCAGGTTAAACTCGTCGATTTCTGCCACAACCTGATCATGTTTCTTTTGCACTGTTTGTTCCATGTGTTGCCACCACTGCTCCAGCTGCCTCATGTGGCTCTCAGTCAATACCCTATCCATGCATGTTAAATGCTGAGATAAAATTTCTTGCTGACTTTGCAACTGGTTCAAGACATCTCTTTCTTTTCGTAAGGACTCTATGCATGCCTTGATTTTCTGCAGGAGAGCTGTGTTGTTCATAGGACCCCTGTCAAAAATATCAGTGGTGTTTAAAACAGAAAACCCCTCTTAAAACGCAGACCAGACATTTTTAAAAACAAATGTCACTGTTTAGCAAACAATTCACTCACTTCATTCACTCAATCACAAGTGTATCTCAGCGTTCTCTCACACAATTCCTAGTCACACTTGCAGTATCATCATTTCTTGCTCACCTGTGCAGCATCCATTATTCCTAGATATCTGTGCAGAAGAGGTATATTCTACTGTATACTCTCTAAAATTGCAGCATATACTAATATACTTTAATACCCTTTAAAGTTAGCAATAAATAAAGTTCTAAAGATCGATAGTATTATGTCACCTCTAAGTGAATTAACAGCATTTTATGGTAATTTCTGATTTGTAATGAAGATAAAACTTAGTTATTAGAAAACCCTACAAAAATTCCCATTCTTTCAAGATTATTTTGGAGGAATGTATCTACTCATCCTTTATTTCCAGAAGTATTTTGAAATGCCCACATAAAATACATTTAGCAGCTAAATTTTTCTTCTCTTTTTCAATCTCTGTTGTAAATTAACAAGTTAGTTCTGAAATTTTAAAGATTTTCAAATTACTTCGACACATTATTCTAACAAACTAGTTCTATGTTTTGAAGACTATTCACAAAACACAGCAAATATTGTGTGCCTTGGTTACCTCTGAATTGGTATTGTAGACCTAATTACTGCCACAGAATTTTTCCTATCAAATAAGTCAGTTTCCAGAGCAAGGAGATATTTCACTCAGAAAAAAATTAGAACTGGTGAGTCCTTAAAAAAATGAATACTTCACATATGCCATATTTTTGCAAAAATATTTGAAGATGGATTTTATACAGGTTTGAGGCCAGCAACAATTTCTTTGTTTTGCCTAAAAAACAAAGAGTGGATGTTGCTTAAGGATAACAAAGAACCACAGAAATGCTTCTGCTTAAGGCTGTTTTAGCTTACAAACCTTTAAGACTTCTTTTGCTCTCCAATGTTAATGAGGTGGATAAAGCATCATATTCTTGTCTGAGCATTACTGAAACATGGCATGAAATTCAGGCAAGGACAGTATTTGTTCTGCAAACAACCAAAATCCTCAACTATACTTACATTTTTATGTTATCTTTTTCAGTTGACAAATTTTTCATCGAGGCCTGTACTGCAGAAAGGTTTTTCTGGTATTCACTAATTAAACAGTACTGTTGTTCCTTCACTGCCTTAACAGCATGTAGCTCTTGAAGCAGCCTGTCCCAGCAGGGCACTGCAGGCTCCGTGGTTTGCAGCTCTGCTGTGTTTGATCCTGTTGCATTGGGAATTGCTTCTTGACCATGGCACAAAGATTCTGCCTTCCATGTTTCCAGCTCAGTTTGTAAATCCTACAATCAAGACCACAGCAGAGAGGGGATTAAAGGATGATCTGCCACACTTTTGGCTTTAAACACAAAACACAGCTAAATGCAGATTCCAACACACACACAGACAGACACACACACCTGCTCGGCCACATGCACAGGAACATGGATGCCTGTGCACATCATGAAAGCACATGTGCAATCTTAGGTGTATCTACTACCACCCTCTAGAAGAGTAGTACAAATCATAGGATTTACATGGCCATACTTGCATGAAGACACAGTGTTTGTAGACAAACTGACTAATCGTGCAGGCAAACCTCAGAGAAGACTATATGCAACAATTTTGGTTTGCCCAAGTGAATCATAATTCTGTTACGTGAACTACATTAACAGTGAGGAATGGCTTTGCAGTTTCTATACCTCCAGCTCTTTTAGTTGTTCATTTATAAGCACCATATCCAGTTCAGCCACTTCATTTTTCAGTTCATTGACCTTTTGTTCCTCTTCAAAATATTCACTCTTTACTTGCACTCCAGGAAATAGTTCCTTCTGGACACCCACTTCTGCACCTGTGTCCTACAACACAAAACAGGATTCTTATTTCTGAAGCTCCTAAACCAGTAAGTTTTCTGAATGCAGCACTATGTTCCACATTTGAGCCATGCCTAAATCCTGCTGTGGTTTCACCCACAGCTTCTGTGCATCAACCAGGACCCTGAGGCTGAAACTTCCATCACTACCCCCCACCTCTGCAGTCACCCTGGCCTGCCAGCACAGCTTAGACAGCTATGAAAGCTCTGCCCATCAGTTTAAGTTTGAAACTCTGATATCCCCATCTTCACATAACAACTTCCCTGTACTCACCTCTGCTACTGATAAATTTACAGGTCCATCATGTCTTCTCCCTCTCTCCTTACATAGCCATAGGACTAACCTCTCCTCACACCCACATTCCTTCTGCTCAGCACCTGCCTTGACTGCACTGCACTGCTGTGTTCTTCACCAGGACGTCTCTTCAACTGTTCTTCACAGGGCAACTCATGCATGAGGCAGCTTGGCTGTGACATGAAGCCATGGCTGCTACTGCCCCAAGGGCTAACCAAAGTCTAGGGGGAAGCGAGAGCCTGTCACAACTGGAGTGCAGAAGGGACTGGGAGGCTCCAGAGCCAGTCCCTGGCACTGCTGCCGACTCCCATAGTGACAGAAGGTCACTTGGGGTGTGGGCCAGGTTTAACATCACCTTCAGCCACTGCAGACAACAATATCAATCAAATGTCACAGGCAAATTGGGTTACATGGCAATACCTTAAAAATCCATCTGCATTTTCCTTCCCCCAGTACCTGTCTATATCTGGTGATATGTTCCACATACAGACTTTATATGAGTGAATGCATACAAATACACAGATATGACTACAGTGTGAGCTTCTCCATGGTACTGACATCTAAAATGAGCAACAATAAAAAATTCTTGTTTGATAAAGTTAATGCATTGCTACTTTAGATACTGTTTGACTAGGAAGTAGCCAGCCATCCCTGCAGCCATATCACTTTTAACCTGTCACTGTTATCTCTGTGGGTCATGAGTTACCCAAAACATACCTGCTTCCAAGTGTGGGAAACATGCAGCATATTGTACATATCGTCAGAAAAGAATAGTTCTATTTATTTGAGCTCTTCAGGTTATTTTCAGTCAAAACTGAAGGGGACTGCTCATAAAACAGTCAATCAGACAACTTTTCTTTTCTCTGTGTACATATCCATAATGGTTTGAATCAATTTCAGCTTAAAAGACTTTGGAATGCCATAGAACTGAAGTAAGCAGAAAAACTCAACCAAGCTATCAGTGTGAGGAAGAAATCCACTTCATCAGACTAAAATAGCGACACATCAAAGCACACAGAAAAGCATGTGTCCTGACACTAAGAAAAACCTCAGGACTGCAGTGTACACGTTTTTCTTGTTTGTGTGATGTTCTCAATGCACACCACGGCACTGTCTCCCTGAATACAGACTGGTGAGACAGCACCTCGAGTCTGCGTTCAGTTCTGGGGCCCTCACTGTGAGAAAGACATTGAGGGGCTGGAGCAACTCCAGAGAAGGGCAACAGAGGTGAGGAAAGAGGCTGGAGCACAAGTCCTATGAGAAGCAGCTGGGGTGTTTAGCCTGGAGAAAAGGAAGCTCAGGGGGGACCTCTCTACAACTACCTGAAAGGAGGTTGTAGCCATGTAGGGGTCAGTCTCTTCTCCCAGGTAACAAGCGACAGAACAAGAAGAAATTGCACCAGAGGTTTAGATTGGCTATTAGGAAAAAGTTCTTCACAGAAAGGGTTGTCAAGCACTGGCACAGCTGCCTAGGGAAGTGGTGTAGTCACCACCCTGGAGGGATTCAGAAGATATTTAGATGTGGCATCTGGGGACATAGTTTAGTGGCGGGCTTGGCAGTGCTGGGTAAATGGTTGGACTTGATGGCCTTAGAGGGCTTTTGCAGCCTAAATGACTCCATAGTGACTGCATTGTTCTTTCAGTGCTTTTCAGTAGTATCCAGTATGATCTCCATAACTTTTCCAAGAACTGAGGTCAATCTAACAAGTGTGTACTTTTCTGGGTCTTCCCTCACCCCCTTCTTGTAAACTGGAATAACATTGTCTAGCTTCCAATCAGCAGGGACTTCTCCAGACTCACAAGACCTGTAGGAGATTTTGTTGGGGTTTTCAGTTCAAGCACATTTGCAAGTCCCAGGTAAGACCTCCTGATGGACAGACCAGCTGTGGACCTGCCTCTAGATTTAACTTGAAGATTAGATCCAGCCCTACCTTCAGTTTGAGAATGTGGCGTCCAAGGTCAGCAGTCACGGGGCACTTGTGATCTAACCCCTTTACTCTTAAAGAACAATAGACTTACAATCATTTACTAACGTTATGCATTCAGCTTGAATCCATTCTCCTTTCTCAATTTTATTGAATTTATTTTCTTATCCTGGATCTCCCTCGAATTTCAGTTTTCTGATCTGCCTCCCTTATGATAGCAAAGACTATCAAAACTAATTAAAATAACATGGAAATAAGTTGCATTGGTTAACAGTTTAAAAAGAAACTCTACGTATCATAAAGACTGATTATGATGGCTCTAAAAACCAGTCTGAACTCTCTTTTGAACAGATTCACTGAAAAGTATGATGTGGTTAGCACTTTGGATAAAGTTCAAAACTATCATGACATAAGTAAGAACTACAGACAATGGTCTTAATTTTGATGTGACCGTAATTGTGTCTTCTTTTAAAACGACTTCAGCTGCAGCCCATGTGGAAACAAAAACTGAACAAGTAGCAAACATCACTTGAAATAGCAAACTGTGGGTTACCTCATGTGCAGAAACTGGGGGATTAGATCCTAGACCATCTTTCCCAGCTGCTGCAGATTCCAGGACCTGAGTCTTCCAGCACACCTTCTGTTGAACCTGCTCCACATCATCTCTACATGACCAATTTTTCACATCACTAGGTTTCTCCTTTTGGTGTAAAAAAAAAATAAATGAACAAGTTATCAAAAAGCCCTAATCAACTATGTTGAGTAGTAATCGCAGTGCTTGAGATGACAAAGTTCTGAAACCCTCAGTTACAGGAAAATGAGGGAAACCACAGTGACATCTCATAATTTACTGTGGGCAAGGTCATGGCAAAGGCAAGCACCTGAGAGAAGCAGTTACACATGCTTGGAAAAACTGCAGATTGCAAGTGCTCACACTCTGACCTATGCTGTTCATGTTTCGTTATTCTTAGCAGGGATCTTGACCTGTGCACCCCTGGATGCAGTGTTGAATGCATTTTTTTAAAGGGTTTGGCTTTTCCCTAAGGCTCCAACCTTGTGCTTGTGCTGTGGACAGTCTGGGGTTAGATACCCAGGCAATTACCAGGCAGGATATTCTTGTGGGCAGCCTGGAGGTGTGCTGGATATGTGTGCTGAGGTATTTGCTGACTGAGTTCTGCCTGAGATTGTTTATCATCTGGGGACAGGAAAATAAAACAGCCACCTACATGAAATAAAGAACAGCAAATCCTTACAGCATGACCATGGTGACGAGTGTGGTGTCGGGGACCTCGCGCTAGTACCTGAGCTAGTGACTGCAAGTCAGGTAGGACAAGCATTCAAAGTAGCTCACCCACACCCCAGGATGGATGAATTTACCCCAATTCTTATCAAGCTCATGAGTGTACACCGTGCTCATCTTATCAGCACTACGCTGCTTTCAGCATCTCATACAGTTTGCTAAAACTGAAGGTCTGAGAAGAGTCTGTCTTCTCTCTAGCACCTCTTCAGGGAGGGGATGACAGCAAAGAGACCCCGTTAGTTCCCTTCCAAAAGGAACTTGGCCTCTTCCCACTCATTATGTCTCCAGCTCCTAGACACTGCTCTAGTTTGTTGAAATTCCCCTTGTACCAGGGTGCACCAAACAGGGCACAGCACCTCAAGTGCAGCCTCACACATGCAATGCAAATATGTAAATAAGAAATGCACAGAAATGAGAGTGACTCCACCATAATAATAGTGTTCAAGCAAAACAGTCAGAAGACTTCACAATACATCCAGGTGACTTAGAGTGCAATATCCCTTGTAATGCAATACCCTCAACAAAACCACTAATGCCAAAAAAGTATCTCTATAGCAATTTTAAATGTATAGGAAAGAATTGAGTGAGTTAACACACACTAAATATACCACACATCTGAAAAAATTAGCTCAGTGTAATTTGAGGTTTTTATTACTTATTTATTAGTAGTATCATCCCCACTGCAACCAAACTGTATACATAAACCTCAAATTAAATCCCTCTTGTGTAATCTCATGTCCAGTTACCTCTGCTGGATGGGCTTCCTTTCTTGTTTCATCACCTTCAATGCCAACACCATCCTGATGTCTTTCCAGTTCTGCATCATCACCCAGAACCAAGCTGTCCAGAACATCCTCTCCGACCCTGTCATGTTTGTCCATACCTGGGCTCTCCTTATCAGCCTTCACCTGATTTGAAAAATACAAAATGTTTACAATCAGTGAAAGACACAGTTCAGAATCTAAGTTTGCTGAGAAACTTTCCACTCCACAATCTGTCTACTCGATCTTCAGTTTAGCTTAGTGAATGAAGGAAAAGGCTGCTCAGATCAGTTTGCCATATCAGGACCTTAACCACTCTGAAACAGTTTCAGGACAAAGCAAACTAAGTGCTCATACGATTTTTCATATGGTTATATAAGTTTCTGCTTAGACACCTTTATTAACTATTGACCCTGCACCTTCTCCAGAAATCCCAGCATGGATAGTTTCCACTCACAAATTTTGATGGTCACCTCTCTCAGACACTGTCATTACTCAATGGTCGGGTGAATGAGGGAGTACTCTAAATCACTCTCTCGGCTTTGCACACATGGAGTCATCAGCAGTGTGAATGGCCTGAGGTCTCCTAAAGATCAGCATGTCCATGTTAGTGACCTCCCATTATCTACAGTGACAAAACCTGTTGAATCCCCATCCCTGGAAGTGTTAAGGCCAGGCTGTATGGGGCTTTGAGCAACTGGGTATAGTGGAAGGTGTCCCTGCCAATGGCAGGGAGGTTGTAACTAGATGATCTTTTAGGTCCTTCCACCCCAAACTATCCTTCATTTCCATGACTTTATGAAATCACAGATACGTGGTAGGTTTCACATCATGGAAAAAGTGGGTCCTAGGCCTCGGAAGCTTGTAGAGACCATCTTACTGATCTCTTGCACACTTCATGTGAGCAAGACCGAGGGGATGATTTAGAGAATGCTACTTATCATTCCTTTCATCAGATAAGGAAAATATGTCTCTGTAAGACAACAGATTTTAAGGAATTACATATGCATTTCTAGTGAACAGACAGATAAATATATATATACACACACTGATGTGCATTGGGACGTATTTGTCAGGTACCTGAACAGCCTGCGCCAATCTGTCCTTGCCGTGATGGACACCCTGCAATGGGCTGTCTGACAATACAGTGCTTTCCTCCAAAACTAGATCATTCTGCTTCTCCTTCTCTGACATATTTCCATTTACATCTTGACCCTAAGAGAAATGGTAGAAAAGAAAACCTTGTGTGACCACAAATGTTGTATTTTAACATTAGATCTCTAAATGGCAAAAATTATTACCTCCGAAAACAAACAGGAGAAATGCTGTGTTGCCATTCTAAAAAAGTCTTACTGGATTAAGAGGAGCTCTCAGAGCTCTTTGGCAGAGGTGTGTCTGCAATTTTCTCATCTATACACCTTCTCACTGTGTCCTGACCAAGGACACCTGCTCTAATTATGGGCACAAGAAAGCTATATGCAGGTTGTTATAACAAGTTAAAGAAGTTCTTCTCCACATCTTTGATTTAAATACAGATATTTAGAGAAGGCTTATTTTCAATGACATTAAGGATGTAATATACAGAAGGCATTTGAGAGAGATGCCCCTTTAGCCAGTCTTCCACTGTCATTACTGTCAAAAAATAAACTCACATCGTGCATTTCCAGAGGCTCCTTCAGCTCCACTGCTGTGGGGCTCTCTTCCGCAGCAACATGAGCACCTGAAGCAATTGGTATCTCTCTTTCTAGCACTGTATCTGCCTCATCTTCCTTTTGTATTTCATTACTAAACTCATCTTTTAACTCAAGGGCTTCACTGAAAATATTTTCCTTCTTTTCCTTGACATGTTCAAGTCTTTCTTCCAGACTCCTGTGCTCACTCTGAAGTGTTTCAATCTCATCCTTAATAAACTTCTGTCCTGGTGAAGAGGTGTTCTGTTTAACAGTTTCTGCTAAAACCAAAATCTTCCTTAAAGTATCTTCACATCGACTAAGAGGTCCTTGTTGTTCCTTTAAACATGAAGAAAACATTTTATTTAAAAGTATCTTCACTCAGTATACTTAATGCTAAGATCTAAAGTCAGTTGCTAAACCCATAAATATTTGTTGTGAACAACAAACTGTGTTGAAAAGTACATGCAGACCTGTTTGCTGCAGGCAGTTAAACACTGAGCCAGTAATTTTTATGTACAGAGAACACCTGAAGCTATAAGCATCACAATGCTAAAATAATCTAATAGCACACTGTGTGGTACATGATGACCCTTTCATGTTCTGCACAGGTAATCCCCCCACTCCTCTCCTACTCCTTCTCACTGGCTAGATAGAGGTATAGCAAATTCTGGAGGAGGGGAATTGCCATGATCCATATCCAAGCTATGGTTTCAGCTTCCACTAACTCTCACTCACAGCTACAAGACTGTCATCCATTCTGCCAAAGAGCAAACAAATGTCTACTTATGCATGAAAGACACTTCTTAAAACTTAACTTGGCTCCCTGACATTTTTCTAAGCTTTCAACACTGGCTAGTTTAAAGACACTTACTAACACCAGATTTAATGATCACCTTCCTCATTATGCCCAGAGAGGAAAAAAGAAATCCCAACCAACCAAACAGAAGAAGCCTCTGTGCTTGAGCTAGGATAATTCTACCTTCAGTTCAGCCAACAGTAAAGGTTCCCTCAGTTCATTAAGAGGGGTTTTAGGCCTACAATTACCTTGATAAAAGGAACACCATAGATACTTTTTTATTTTAGAAAGGTTTCTTTTTCGGTTCAACACCATTAGCAGTTCCCTTTCATAAATGTGATGATCTCTAGGGCATGGACCCTTTCTCCATGATGCAACACCGGCAACATAACATACCTGTGATTTCAAGTGGTTTTGCATAGCTGATGGTGGTCCCATTGCTGGTCCTTCACGATCAGCAAGCTCCTCAGAGACAGTTTTCAGCTCAGTGCTTAGGGCTTTTACCATATCCTGAAACTGCTGGTGCTCTTGAACATGATTTTCCAATGTATGCACGATGGTCTAGAAACCAAGGAGTTTCTAGGATTAGCCCACCATTAGTTTAAACAAACCTAACAAATTTGCTTGTTTCCCATAAAATAGGCAGCTAACCACAGGTTAACTACAAAAATTTCTAGCCATCATCCCAGAGCACCATGGATTCCAACATGAAAAAAATCTTAATTGGCTGCAGGAAGCAGAAGAGTTGGCATTCCATAAGAATATACTTCTAGCAAGGATGTTTACTACCCAAAATGGTTGAAAGATCAAGGAAGAATGCCAGATAGGGTGCAAATGCAATTTGCCCTAAATTGGGTGAAACCAGTAACAAACAAGATGCTGGAAAAGCATCCCTTAGATACTTGCCAAATTCATACTTCCAAAAGGAAGAAAACCAACTGTGATTTGGAGACTATAGGAACAAATGTTTCCTATTACAGCTAACCAAATCTGTGTATACAGGTACGAGATATTCTTCACACTTACATTGGTCTCATTTGTTTAAATATTTATCCCTCTGCAGAGCACAAGGCAGTGAATATGAGTTCTGGTGCTCTTCTTCCCACAGTAAGAAAGAGAGAAATTCAATGCCCTTTTACAGAGGAACTTCCACCAGAGTTTACCCAGAAGATGACACTACAGGCAAACAGAGAGAACTGCAACCAACAGGCACCCCAATAACCTCTTACGAAAAGAGTAAGGTTCCAACCTGGAGCTGGCTGAGCAGATTTTCATGCTGGTGCTTTAATTCCAACCACTCCACCTCTGTGCAGCAGGATTCCCTGGTGTCACCCTGCAGATGATCTGTCTGGCTTTTCAACTCACTGAATTGGGAAGTTAAGTCTTCTGCTTTCTGCAGGAGGTCAACATAGTTTGCCAGCTGAGCTTGCTTCTCCTGCAAACCAGGCTGAAGGGCAATACCTATCTCCTGTTGCTGTTTCTGCAGTTCAGTTAGTGCCCATCTCAGATCATCTTTGCTTTGCTCATGTTGCTCCCTGTTCAACTGAAATTGTTCTTGAGGGCTAAGAAAAAAAAAGCCTGTGTTCAATAGCATAAAAAAATCAAATTTATTGATTATCTAGAAAATGTCAAATTCTGATCAAGTCAATCATTTGGATGAACTTAAGTGTACTGAATACTTCTCTTCAGGTTTTAAGTTACTGATCAGACTGGAATTTTCAAGGTCATGAAAAATACTGAAGCTACTGCAGATGAACTGAACTTAAATGCAGGACAAGTGAGTAACCTTCTTAAATCCTCACCTATAAAGCCACAGTTTCTAGTTTCTGAGATGTGGCTCATGCTCTGCATTTTTCTGCTGTTCATTACAGCAGAAGTTCTGTTTAAACTACAATATGGCTACGAATCTGCTTTCCTTGACTTCTTATGACAGTCTCCTGAAAGGGAATGTTCTGTAGAAGATCCACATGGCATTGGTTGATATGGGAGTGGGAGAGTGTTTTAGACAGCCAGACAACAAAACCAGCATATGCAATATGGGTTATGTTAATACAATCCAGTGATTACTTTCCTGACCTTTACATTGGATTATAAGCACACATGCTGATCTGCTGCAGGTGAACAGGTTGCATTTGTCCATGGGAAACATGCAATAAGACAAAAGTAACATTTTTATGTTCAGATTTAGTGATGAAGCTCAGATATTTTCCAGATGGAACTTAAATGTCAACACTGAAAAATATGATCCCACACAAACAAGTCCAAGTTTGGTTATAATTCTGTAAAGTACAGCAGGATAAATGAGGACAACAGCAAAGCCCAAGTGTTTTGTTTTCTGACCCTCAAGACCCATATTTTCGGCAAGTGATAAATGAAGCACAGCCACGCGTGCGCTAAGGACTCCTGCTTCAAGCTCCCTGTTCCAGCTTCCCACTGCTGGTGGATCTGTTATTCACAGGCCTCATCCTGTAGGGTCCTGAGCATCTCTTCAGACCCGCTGAGTACTTCATCTCCTATCTTCAACACACTGTGAAGAGGATGCTCTGCATTCTGCTGTGTTGGATCCAATACAACCAACACCACCTTCTGGAGCACCACTTGTACTGTTTCTACTGAGTGCTTAGTAATGGCAGAAGTAAACAGAATATTCTCTGGAATAGCCATATAGATAGATGGAAAGCATCTCTGGCTATTCTGGCTACACCCCTACTTGACTATTCAGTCCAAACTGTGACCTGCCCCTCTACAATAATGCAGAAATACAAGTATTTTTGTGCATATCTTGTTCTGCTCCCAAAGAACAGAAATTCAATGGAGCTGGTGCAGGAAGAAGAGAAGACACCCAATATAGTAGTAAGTGATCTGTACTGCCTCTTGGCAAATTCCACATTACCTGCTACACTCAGTGGCCAGCTGACAGGTGTTTTCCCACTTGTTCTGGAGCTCAGAAACAGTCTGCTGAATCTCTGGCTTCTTATTTTTTTCATTTCTCATTAAAGTTTCTCCTAGAGCCACCATGCTCTGTATCTTGGCCTCTCCTGCACCTCTGAGAGCTGTGATTTCCTGTATTAAATGGGAAGCAGAAGCAGTACATATAGAACTATTTTTGGTTACAAAATAAAAGGTATTAGCATTACTTTTTCATACTTTGCACACTGCTGTTCAAGATAACAGAATTCTTCTTCCAATATATTACATAACTGATTCATAAACAGACAGATCATCCAATTTTAGAAAGTCTGGGATAATGAAGCCGATTTATTAATGATTCTCTACAGAACAAAAGCAATATTGTGTTGACAAATAAAAAAGCGCTCCAAATATAGGGAGAGATATTTGTCACAACACTACTCATTTCCACAGAATGAAACCTGTAAATCCCAGTATTCTCCTCCTATGTGATCAAACAGACCGCAGAGAGGCTGCTGGGGCCCGAGACCCACCCAGGCGGGGCACCAGGCCCTGCAGGATGCCCGGGAGGACACACACTTTGCAGAGGCTCTCCAGGTGCCTTGGCTGCATTACTGACCTCCCTCTCCACTCCTGGAGCAGGGGCCAGGGCCTCATGGCCCCAGCACCTTAGGAGCTCAGTGCTACTGCACACACAGATGCAGCAGTGAATCTCATCTTAGTGCACAATAAACTCTGCGAAAAAGCCAAACACACAACTCCACCTCAAACAGGCCACAACACTACAGGCCATCAGCAGGGCCTGTTTGAGCCATCTTTTAGGAGGCACTGACTCAAACGTTCCCCTGGTGTTAGCACAAGCTGTGAGGTGAAAAAGGAATACATTTGCACAATACCTTTATCTGATGAATCCTTTCAGCCGACGGCAACTCACTTTCCTCTGAACTCAGTTTATTAACAGCCTCCTCAAGCTTTTTGATCCAGCAAGAAACATCCTGGGCAAGCTCTTCAAAATTGTGTCCTTCCCCTGGAAGTCTCTCAGTATTCCCTGCCATTCCACTTACACGTGTTATTAGTGTATGGTACCTACTAACAAGGTTACTGGGTTCTGAAATGGTCTCAGATTCTGTCAGCCCAGCCTCCCTCAAGGAATTTGCTAGCTGAACCATGGAGTCAAGTGGTTTTCTAAAAAATAAAAAAAAGATTAATAAACATCTATTTGTTGGAACAACATGGAACAACCTTGTTTAGAAGACAATTCTTAGAGAGACCAGAAAAAACCCCCAATACCTCTGCATTAATAGTGTTTTATAGAAGTCTTCAAGTTTTGTCTCATCTTTCTTAATCTCTTTTAGTTTTTCCTCCTGAGTGGTGAGCCATTCTTCCAAGACTGTGCTGCTTTCTTCAAGGCTAAAGTGTGTATAAATACAGGCTCAGGTCAGAATGAGAGGCATTACATGACTGAGACCTGCTGACAGCAGTATTTTGCTGAAAAAGTAACATAAATTCATATGTCTGATCAAGCAAAGTTTCAAGCATAAGCTAAATTTTAAGTATCTCAGTTCACGTCACTGAAATGAGCCCTAGTTCCTATATAGGTCTGCTATGAAATGAAACAAAATACATGAAACAAAACACTCACTACCCTTTACTAAAATATCACTTTTTACAAAACGTAGGGTTGTTTACCATTCACTATGGGTGTTTATACCATTGGTGAATAAAATGCCGGAAACAACATTAGTCCCCTACCTACTGAGCTGCTGGAGAGAGGCACCAAGTTCCTTTTCCCGTTTCTGACATTTGGAGATCAATCTTTGTAGTTCTGCTTCTTGATCTCTCACACAGCTGTTAAGGTGATTAATGCTTGCTTTGGGCAAGTAAGGCTTCACTTTATTCAATAAAGCTTTAACCTCTTGGGTATCTCTGTCTTTGCCTTCAGATGTTAGGAAGTGCTGAATAAGAGCACAACACAAGATACACTTGTCAAATTTGCTGTAGTATAAATAATATTTATGCTAGAAGAGTTTTTCAGCTCCTGTTACCTTCACCAATATTTTCTACAGCAATTCCAGTTCCTGAAAAGGAACATATGTTAATTCATAGTTTGCTGACTTTCCACCTGCAAATGCAAAAGTTGTTGGTTGCAAAATAAGGAGAAAGTGAAGCAGATCACTTGCTTTTCTTCTCTAAAGCACAAATACACAAACAGGCAAGCACCACTCAAATCTAGCACTGGCATCACTATGTCTCCTTCTGCCACTTAACTGTGATTGCTTCTTGAAGATGTTGCGGCTTTTCCATCTGTTTTCTGTTGATTCTGTCTGACTTAGAGGGAAAATCTGGCTGCAACAAAATGAATGGAAGTTTCTCACATTTGAGTCTATTGGGGGCCAAACTTTCACATTTACTCTCTACATATTTGACTTTCTGCATCTTTGCATGCTGAAGTACTTGGTCAAGGTCCACTGACTTTCACTAACTACTGCCCTGCCTCTCACTTGTCCAAGCTGTCTGAACTTGAACACTGACACCCCATTTGAACAACGTTTTACTTTCATTTTACTTATTGCCCCAATGCTTTAAGTTACATGAAATGTTCTTTCAGCCTCAAGTTACAAAACCACTGTAGGTGAATCCACTCCCAATAACAGTCTTCTGTGTAAAAAGAGTAAAACTTCAAGAACAATCAGCTTTAGAAATTAGAACATTTTAACACTTCACCTTTAGCCTCTGCAGTCTTTCTTCCAGTATCAGTTTTGTTTCTGAGGGGTCAAAGCAGTCCTTCAAAGACAGCTGAGTGCTGCTGACCCAGTCATTAAAATTCTTGCACTGACCTGAAAAAAGATACATTCCAATTTTCTTCATTAATTGTACTCTTCCAGAGAAAATCCTATTTAACAGGAAGATTTGAGACAATTTGTAATTACATTTATCAGAGCTACTGTGAAAGGTTGCTTTTTACTGCAGACTATGTGACAGAAAATAGTGCAGGCTCATTTTTTTTTCTTACTGAATATTAATTGATAATAAACATACCTGTTTACTTGGAAGGGACAGTCTGTTATACATAGCAGTTAAGGTAAATGAGACCTGGAATAGCCTATTGCTAACTTTTCTTGTTTGAACAAAAAAAAAAACATTACTTAGAAACTCTTTGAAGATATGAGACTACCTTTGGGCCAAATCCTCCTCCTGCACAACCCCGTGTCTGCTTAAAACAAACAGCAATAATGCTGTTAATTCTTATAACAAATTTAAATTAACTGAAAGGAGTTAAACCATTGGACTTCTGTATTTTCAAACGAAATGCTCTGGCATTTGCTCCTGACCTATGCTTTACACTTCTATTACCTCTTTTTTAAAATGTAAAAATAAGAAACACAATGCTTTGATTAGAATCATGTGGTTAGTTGGAATAAAAAGCCATTTTTCTCCAAATCTTTGTATCTTGTTCAGAACCCTGAAGTAGTTTGAGACCCTGAAGCACTTTCAGACACCAAACCAATTAACTGCATAACCTTTAAGTCGTTACGGTGGTCAATGCAATCCTATAAAGGCACATAAACATGAAATGTGTTTGCTTACGGTTCAAAACACCAATGAAATGATCTTGAAGCACATGTTTCTTGTTATTGAATAAATCAGTGACACATTTAAGCTGCTTATTTAACTCATCCACATCAGGACAATCCGTCTCCTCTTGGAGTAATGCCACATGGTGTTCTTGTTGCATAATTTTCTGGTGTATCTCCTAAGGTTTAAAAAACAGGACAATTGTTAAAAAGAAAATTCTGAAGTGCAAGCAGAAGTTGACTGTACAGAGCTGCTTCAGTACAAACTAGAGGTTTGCAAAAGGGACTAGCCCTGCCTATGTGTCAAAACAAGTTCTTAAATTGTACTGGCAATGACAAGGTCCGGTAGATCTAAGCACTGAACTCCCCTTGAGCAGTGTGCACACACCTGTATGCATACATAATCACACATACATTCCCTCCCGCAGAGTTTGGTATGGTTTGGAAGGATTAGCCATTTCCAGCAGCTGCAAGGGTTAACTAAGTACATCTAATAATTCCAGGGAAAACAGATTTTTTTCGTGTTTCTGGCAGCTTAAGAAAATATTCAAGCCAGGCTCTTCATGTGAGTTATTCTAGCAATTTACAACATACACAGCACAAACACTTGTAAAGACTTGCCCCAAGAGAGAAATAATGAACAAATTTATAAAACATGAATAAATTGCAGCATGCTACCTCTAGTTTAGTAAAGATCTCTAAGGTGTCAGAAGGAGACAAAGCTTTTAAAAGTGATTCAGTCATTCCAATCTGTGTCTTGGCCAGATCCAGGTCTCCTTTCAGTTCTGCTGTATTCACAGTGGGCTCGCTGGTCCTTCGCTTTGCTGACAAGAGATCTTTTATTAGCTCCATTTTTTGCATAACAGATGATCTAATGACCTTAAAATTGGAAATAAACATACATAAAAAGTTATAATGGATTGATCTCCTAGAATATTACAAAAATCCATCACAGACATGAAAAGAAATTAAATTACCAGAAGCCCAAACATTTCAATCACAGCTTGCTCCAATTTGTTTCTCTCACACTCCACAAACTGATAAATAATAGTATTTAAGCCCTGTTTTCCTGAGGAGGAATGATCTTAGTTCATCCTAGTAAATTTACTGGTGCTGCTTTACTAACAAATTTATTTGTCAGTCTCTTCCAGTGTCTACTCTCAGCTGGAAAAAGGCCCTGCGTGCACTTTGGCTGTCATGGAAAAGAGGGTGGCAGCTTTCTCTCTAGCACACTTCGCTGTGGTGATTCCATCGAGGCCAGCTCTGCACAACGACCCAAAAATCAGGCCAGGCCAGCAGGTGGGGAACTCTGGCTGAAGGCTACTCACTAAAGAGCAACAGGTGCTTAACCTGATTCTTAAGGCTTTTGCTGATTTGCATGAGACAGCAACTCAGTGGGATCACGGCCACATGCTGAAACACCACTCAGGGTTTCTGACAGGCTCAGGGCATCTGGTGCTCCCAAGGAGCACAGCGTGCACAGAGCAAGGTTGCCGAGTCCTTTCCTAAGCTCCTTAGATCACTTTACCCAGTGAAACTCCTCCGAGTTCACTGCCTGCTGAGGATAAACACAGAAATAGCCAAGTGGGGTCAAGCTCAAGGTGCAGATCTGACAGACACTAAGGAACTGCTGCAGGATCAAGGTAGGCTGACACAGTCTTAAACAGTGGAAAAGGATTTATTCTTGATTACACTATGATTCTGTGATTCCTTGCTGCATGAAGTTAACACAGCAAGGTGAAGATTTCCTTGTGATATCCCAAAGGAAAACACCACAGCAAACATCACTCTATGCAAATAGCTGCATATTACTAAGCTGCATTAAGTCACATCCAGACAAAGGTACAGTTTAAAATAGACAGTCAGCAGGCTGAGTTCCTGGGATCCGCAAAAGGCTGCCAAGGTCCATTGTGCCTTGTTATCGGCCAATAGCTAAAAGCTAGATAGCACTGATAATGGCCTCTTTGGGCAGGTCTGCAAAACAGCTGGGTCAGGCCTAAGTCCCTAAAAGGCACAGAAGTGAGAGAGGCCTCTGTGTTTAAAATGACAGGTTTGGCTCTAACAGCTTGAGAGAAACCACAGATGAAATGTCACTGCTCATAGCCAACAAAATGCCTCCAACCCTCTAAGTAGATGTAAGTAAACCCAGTAACTGATGGTGGCAAAGACAACACTAGAAGCATAGCTATAGTAATGAGTAGTGGTGTATCAGCTGGAAACATTTCTTCATACCTGTAGCTCCAGTGGAGGTTCATTACTATTCAGAAGTTCTTCTATCTCAGCCACTGTGTTGTCAAATTTCTGGAGTTTCTGCTCTTGGACTCGTAAGCATGCCTAAAGGTGGAAAGAACACATTGGTAAATGTGTTTCCCTCCAATTAAATTTCCACATTTCTGTTATAAAATTACATTAAAATCATCTGATTCTGCATTTTTGCATATAGAGCTCTCATAACTTGTCCATTTCCTGATTTTCATTTTGGCAATGTAGACTTGTTTTTCGTATTAGAGTCAGAAACACTCCATGCTTCTCAGACAAAGCTGTTCATGCAAATCTATCATAAATTTAACAATCTTAATTATTTGCTTCAAGTAAATTTGCAGGAAAATAACCTTAATTTTGCATATATTTCTAGCTGCTTCTTTTAAAAGGGATATTCTCAGATAAGTTAGAGACCTAAAGTTAAGAAGCGGCATTCTGGTGATATGGATGTGGTAAAACACAACACACGTTATAAGCCCTTTCTTAATGTAAATCCTTTGTATTGAAAAATCCTCTACTCATTTTAATGAATTTCGGAAAAATGTCAATAATGTGAAGGTAAAACACCAGCTTCAGCTTAAGGAACAGGATCATCACATTGTTTCACATTCCCAATCGATATTCCAGACTCCCTCGGGACAAAGCATTCCTTGGCAGGCTCTGTACAAGCAACTGTCAAAACCTATTCATGTGCTGCAGCCCTTAGCAGAATTCCCAGCTGCTTATTGGGAAAGCAGAACTTCCCTTCCATTATTTATACTGAAATTATCTTTAAACACACAGTGAAATTCATTGCTCTGTTCTTTTCTGACAGGCTTCTTGCAAACCCATGCACCAGCAGCTCTGCAGGGCACCCACAAAGGACCCTGGGGTCCAACCCTATGTAACACGACACACATTCCAACAGCTGGGGATTTTTTTTGTCATTAACATTAATGCAGAGATGTTTTAGGATCAACAAAAAACCAATAAACAACAAATTGATAAATGAATCTGATACCCTCTGCACTTTAACTCATTTTACAAAAATACCAGTGCACTGGGTTCAGTTTTCTCTCCTATTCTGCTTTTATAAGCAGCTCATGGGAACATGGTTTCTTTCTCCCTTGGCCTCTTCTCTCACCTCTTCGGATAATTATCTTCTCACACAGAAGTAGCAGAGTAACCCTAGCATAGCCCTTCCTAGACACAAGCAGAGGCACACCAGGGGCATGGCCACATCATGCTGGACTCCAGCAGTTTCCAGGTAACAAAATGGCTCTTAAGATGCAGTTGCCAGCTGCTACATTTTTCCTGGAGCCTCCAGGGACCTAAACTGCTCCAGGTAAACTCTAACAGTACAGTGGTAAAGACAATCAAAATGTGACATAATATCCACCACTGCACAGCAGATATACCATGGTTTCCCTGGGAAGATCCATGCACAAAGAACACCTTGGTGTTTTACTGCTCTGCAAATTAAAAGGAATGAGCAGTGCTAACAGTGGGAGGAAAGCTGCAGATAAGCATAACAAAACCCAGGGCATTTGTAGCTTGTAAACACTGAGAAAAAAACCTGCCTGCATATTTTCAAACAAGCAGCTATGGGATATATTCATGTCTCAACCCCACTCGAGCAGGAAATTATTTGTGTTCAGTAGTCACTGGTTATAACCACAACAAAGCGGCACAGCCTACACTCAGTGCAGCCCTACACTCAGAAACTACAACACAGCCTTGCATGTGAGGCTCTTCAATGGCACAGAGCTAGTGCATGTGCTCTTACACCCAACTGCCCCCGACACCACGAACTAAGGCTGTACCCAAAAAGAGCCCAGGGGGCCCAGGTTCTGCTCCCCCGCACTCAGCCACTGCTCGGGTGCAGGAACCGACCCCGGGAGCACACCAGGACACGGAGCAAACCAACCACCTCTGCAGCCCCTGTTTGGACTGTGCACTGCCCAGCCCCCTCTGAGGCTCCAGTGTCTTCACTGATAGGCAATTTCTACCTAATCATTAGCCTACACACACTCTCTTCCCTCTCTTCTCTAGGCACAAGGAAATACGTGCACCCTGTACCACAGACTACAAGCTTTCCAGGCCTTCATTTTGCTCTGTGTTGGTACAGCGCAAAGGAATGAGGGGGCTTTGTAGCCTAAAGCAGCGTTTGCAGTGTTGCATTGATTAAAAACGTGCTACACATATACATTATCTATGCATTGGTTTCCAAGACCTGCATCCCCAATGACAGACAATATTGATAGTTAAACTATCCAGCAGATACAATTGCAAATGTTACCACTTCCTATGCCTTTCCAGTGCTGTCATTTCTATGCAGTGCATGCGTTTATAGTCCCAAGTCCATATCACTAGGGTAAAAAACTTCCGTGCAAATTACCTTCAACTGTGTGAAGTCCTCTTCGGTCAGGCAATGGCCTTCTGCGTTCTTGAGTTCTGCATTCGCCCAAGCATCGATCGTGCCAGATAAACTCAGGAGTTTGTCCCACAAAGCCTGTGCTCTTCCCAAATTATCGTAGTAGTTTTCAGTCTTTTCATTGATCTACCATGAGATTGATAGACAGAAAACACACAGATTTCAAAAGTGTTGTGCTATATTCTAAAGGCAAAAGCAGCAAAATAAAGTCAGAGCAAGATGAAACCATCCACAAAAACAAGTGCAGCAAAAAAGGGGAAAAAAATCTCATGTGTCTTTGCAGTAAACTGGTCATGGAGAAGATATTTAAATCCCTGCCACACATGTCACCAAACATACCAATCACAACAGCAGCTTGCCAGTTTTAAGGCAGGTTTAGCAAGGAGCCTTGCTCATTAATGTTTATCTAGCCCCAGTAAATACCATCTAATCTCAGTATTGATGCACTGCTTAGATCGGCAGTGGCAAACACTTCTCACCAAAAGCAACAGCATTGTAATTTTCCAGATTGTCTCTAAAGTCTAAATCCACAGAAGTTGTTATGGAAGCTTACAGATCCATGCAGAAAGCCCAAATATTGCCTTTCTGCTTTTCCTAAAATTATCTATTGCCAAGTAGTACGCACAATATAAAACACCAGAGAGATCAGAAACATTACACCAATAGACACTCTGAGAGCTTTGCTCAACAAATATTTGGGTTTATCTCTTAAGAATCTTTTCCATATTGCATTTAATTTATTCCAAATATTACACCCATGTCAAAATCAATTACTGTAATGCATAACAGATAAGACCACCCTGATAATTTACTTTTTACATACATCCAGCCATCTGTCCACAATAATGTTAGCCTCATTCTCGAACAGAGGCTCCTCAAAGCTTCTCATTTTATTCAGCTGGAATTGCAGGTTTTTGCAGAGCTGATTTATTTTGTCTACATCTTCAGAGTGATCATTAAATTCCTCTTTCGCCTCTTCAATCTGCAAAAAAGGCCAAATGGATATTTATGAGCATGTTTATTTATGACTGTTTATTCAGCAAAACATTTTTAACCGATGCATTCTTCTTTTTAGCTTAGAGAAACAACAACATTACACAAAATGATCTATTTCATAGAATATGATGAAACTAGGAATATATTCTGTGTTGTTATACCCCGTCATGCTGACAGGAATATTTCCCTGCTAGAAATCCATATCATTCTGTTATTGGCTGCAAAACAGCTGAGTGGAACTACGTGTAATTTATTTTTTATTAACAGAGCTGAAACCAGAGTTTGCTTTAGAAGTCATAAACGTGAGATTCAAGGGGACTGCACATCCACACACAGAACCTCAGTTACAGAGAGAAACAATGCACAGCATAATAATTATCTGAGATACTATTACAGCTCTACAAACAAAACCTGGCATTCTGATCCCCAGGGTTTGAACTATTAAAAAAATATAAGCTTCGCTCCACTGTCAAGTATGTCACTGCCAGACCCTTTTTCCTACTTTCTATTTAAACACTAAACTGCTTCTTTGTGCTTAATTGGGGTACCAGTGTTTACAAACAACATGGAATCTTCCTGGAAAAGAAACACTGACCTCTAGTGCCAGGCACTCGATATTGAAAGCTCTGCCTGTTTCCCAGAGACATTCTGGGAAATTTCATCTTCTGGCACAGGCCGTGCCGGGCGCTGAGGCCAGGGGAGGGCTGGTCCGGGGGAGCCAGGGGAGGGCTGGTCTGGGGGAGCCAGGGGAGGGCTGGCGGCGCAGCCCCCACACACCGGGACCCAGCAGAGGGCCTGCTCTGCCGTGAGTTCATTCGCGCTAAGTACCAAAGCGGCAGCAGCCAAGGCCATGCCCGCTCGAGCCAGCGGCTGCGTTGTGCCAGTGACCGCAGCCCACCGTGACCCTGCGGGAACGGCAGACCCGGGTGGGTTCCAGGGAGTCTCCGCACAAGCAGGGGCTGAGCTGTGCGGGCACTCTCCCCTGCAGCAGAGCCCGAGCGACTCCAGGAGCCACAAGCTTCACTGGTGGATCCAAGAAGAGGCCCTGACTCAGCTAAAGGGAGGTGGAACACAGACACCCATCCCATTGCCTGAGGGAAGAAACTGCTTACATTCCTTACTAAATTTAACCATCCCAGGAACGGCCTGAGAGTGAATGTTCCTGAAGGATACGGGTGATGCCTCATCAGAAAGCCTAAATATAGGATCTGAACAACCAGTTAAGATAACCCACCTGGGAAAATATGAAACCTGTACAGTAAAATGGTCATGATGGACATGCTGCTGTTCACTAATCCCTTAGACATGGACAACTACACCCGGTGGTTGTATTCATTTAGCCAAGCAACAGCTGGCTGTCAAAATTTCGGTCCAAAAAAGTGCAAAACTTAAAATAAATGAAGGGGTGTCCAGCAATACCTGCTCATTCAGTAGGAGTACCACATTAGCTAATGTAAAAGCTACTGCAAATGTTTATCTGCTATCAAAGACACCTTGGAGCAAATGCGGGCTATGGAGGCCATGGCTCATATACAGAAGGCCTGTCTTCTACCTAGGTTTGTAACACAGGAGAAGCACGAGAAGAAATACCCAACTATGTTGTTATGGCTTCTAACCACAGCACTGGTAACCAAAGTCAGGGTGAGGGCAAAGATTCAAGCTGCAAATGTAACCAGCTCAGAGAAAAGAGGTATCAGCAGCATGGACAAAAATATTTTGGCTTGAGATCTCACATCCTGAGGCAATCAATCCCCAAGCTGTTTCTGAGCACAGTGGCAATGCTATACAACAAGGAACAACAGCTCCAGCCTGGGAAGCAAGACAGACCAGTCATGGGCCAGTCTCTGAGCAGATGCAACATGCTGACACAGCCTTAAAGCTCCTGTTCCTGATTCTGCTCGCTTGGGGCTAACTGAAGATCTTGGCAAAGCACTAGATGGTGCAGAGAAACTCTGCAGCCCTGCCTGGGAGCCAGTAACATGAGCAAGGAGAGGATATGGATCTAAATTCTTGGTTATAGGCTCCAGCAACAGCAGAGAAACAAGCAGCTCCAAGGAGATGCATTACCAATTATTTTTAATTTACATTTTTAAAGTATCTTCTTAGTAACAAACACATTTGCTCTTCTGTATATTCACAAACTGTTCACTATAATGTTTTTAACTTGGTAGAAAATACAGAAAAATTCTATATTGCAAGATATGTTTCTGGTAGGAATGGATTTCATCTTATTTTTATGCTAGATCATAGTTTTTCTATGGTTTTGTGGTGGTTTTATTTTAATCCCTCCTTTTTGACATCATCGTGATTCACCAAGCAAAACTAGACATCACCTTAAAACCAAAGGTATGGTCCCTAAATGTATTTTGGAAGCCAAAGTGAAAGCAAGGTCTTAACATCTGCCCTGAAGGCTGAGTGTACAAGGGCAACCCTACATCTGAACCCTTCAAGGAAAGACTTTTCTTTCCACTGAGTTCTTGTTGCTCACCTTTGTTATTAGTCTGTTCAAATTCTCCTTCCCCATGTAAGAAGTTTGCTGTGAAAGCACAATCTCCTGTTTCTGGATGATGCTGGTCAGACTTGTTTTGCAGCTCTGATACTGCTTCAGGAGCTCCAGAACTCTTGCACACTGCTCCTGGCTGTTAAAAAGAGATGTATTATTTATGGCCTAAGCACACAACTACAGCCTCAACCTCTTCTCTGCTTCTCTGTCCTATATTCAAACATGGGGAATTTGAAAGAGAATACCACTTCAGCCCAGCCTTTGCAGGGATAGAGTTGCTCTCACTGACACTTGTGCAAGCCATGAGAAGTACCCAGAACTGTGCCAGTCCATGTAAAGCCTCTAGGCATTTTTAAAATACATAATTGAAGGACAGATGTACTGGGTGATCAACGAGTTCTCACTCTCACAGACTCATCAGACCAAGCTCCTTTAGTGTTTTCCTGCGTAAGAGACTGTTTTTCCAGCTGTCTTCCTTCAGGTGTTTCAGTTTGACTATTCTTTTTGGATGTGTCGGCGTGAAATTCACAGCAAATATGGCAAACCCATCATCGCTGGCAGCGGCCAGGTTTTTCTTTTGGATACCAGTTAGGTCCAACACATCACTGCATACCTGCTAAATTATGAGATTAATGTCTCAAAAATACACAAAATTCATGAGCTTTGGCTGCAAACTTCAATGCACAATTTTTGGCTTAACAACAGTCATAATGGTAACATTTCCTATTGTATCAGTGTTTCATTTACTTTAAAGTAAGGTCTAAGGCTTCGCTGTTTGATTTTACAATTCACCTACTTGTGCAATACTACTTTAAAACATAGTTTTTCTCCTTACCCTTCAGCAAGCAAGAGCTTTGTATCCTCCCATAACCTCTCTGTAAGTCTGTACTGTTCATTTGCTTCCTCTGCTTTTTCCTCATTGATCTGTGGGAGCTTATTAGCAATTTCTTGCACAGGTTTCATTTCAACAGCAGCACAATCCAATTCCTTTTCCAATTCTGTTAATGATTTTATCCTTTATTAGAAACAAAATTGAATACAGCCTTATATTAAAGTAAGTCTTTGATTTGGTTCACAATGTAATTATTAAGTTCCCTAGAAGTTTGTCCTGAGCTCCACATACTATATTAAATGACATCATAAGAAGTCTAATATGATCTTAAGTTCATGTGATTTGACAGTCCTTCAGATGGGTTATGCTGACTTAAGCCCTTTGAAAAAGTAATCCAAAATCCCAGAGGCCAATTGGGGTTTGTATGACCACAGTGAATTATTTTGCATTAAAAGGTAAGCGCATTCTGTATTAAAACATGGTGCCATAGTGTGTGATTTCAGGGTTTATAGAATAGTCACAGCTGATAAATTCCTCTCCCCCTGCTTTTTCCCTCCGATAAACAGCGATTATTTACTAAATAAGTATTTATTCAGCCTTTTCAAGGCTGCACAGAGCTCCTCTGAAACAGTACTGGAGACATGCAAATCATGTGAGTGGCTTTCTCAGGGTGTGGTAAGGGTACACGAGGCTTCTACACTGTGGAGTTTCAGATCAGGTGCATCAGGGCTCAGCAAGAAGACCCATCTCCCTGTTTGACAGTTTTCTTACTGGAAGTTGAGAACACAATAATCAACCTCCTTCTACTTTTTCTTCCTCAATGCTGCTTCAAACATTTAAAAGAGAAGAAGAAATGGAGGAGGTTTCCTTATTTAGGCTGTGATGGAAGAAATAAAACATAAATTCACAGCTTCCTTCTATGCTCCACAGATACTTCAAATTTCAGTGCTCCCCTGGGAAGGGGCCACAGGCTGACTTCACTGAAAGTATGAAATTAAAAGAGCTTTAAAATAGAATTCACCTTTGTTGAATTGCTGGAATTGTTGGATCCTTCAGGTCTACTTTTTTAATTCTGTCACATAGATCCTGAATGTTTTTAAGGAGTTCACTGTTTTTTCTGGAAAAAGTCTTGTATAAGTCTTTTTCTTCTGTAAGTGCCTGTTCACTTGAAGGACAGTAAGTTGCATTTAGCTCTTCAGATAAAGTCAGAACAAGGTTTTCACAGCAAGTCTTTCTCCCACATTCAGCATCTTCTAAACAGATATCAACAGTTTTCAAGCATTCATCCAAACATTTAGCTTCTTCTGCCATGTGAGAAACTTCTTGTGCAGCCTCTCTCAAAGCTTTTTCCTGTATTTCAGGTTGACCTGTGGGATCTGGGAGACATCTGATGGAAGACTGAATCTTCCTCAAGGAGGCCATGAAAGCCTCCAGATCTTTAAGGACAGTCTCACGGATCTGCATTTTATGGCTCATTTCTTCAAGCTGGTTTTGATAGTAAATCATAATTTTACTCGCAGCTTGCAGATCTATTGGATTAAATTCATCTCTCGCTGAACTATCTAGGTGTTCCAATTGTTTGCATACTTCAATCTGATTTAATATGGATCTCTGTAGCTCCTGAAATTGAAAGAATGACCAATAGTGTTAGCAAGTGAAAGAAAACATATATCTGCATTCAAGCTGAACTCATGACTGAAAACCGAATTATACCAGCAGTAAAACAAGTATGCTAAACAGGGTGCTTGAGAAAGAAAACCCACTCTGGATTTCAGTGGAGAGAAGGAAACAAACAAACAAACAAACAAAAACACACAAAAAGAATCAAACAAAATGCTATTCCACACCCAAGGAATTTGGTCAGCACTGCAGAAAGCCCAAGACTCTTTCCAGCAATCAGACAAAACGGAAGGAAACATGAGTCCTGGAACTGAAAGCAGCAGGATCTCACAGCGGGAGATCAGTCAGAGAGCAGGCAGGCACAGAGATGTTTATTACTCTGCCATCTATTAAGTTCTTTATGCCATACTTTTGGAGAAGACTTACATGCCTTTCAAAATCTCTTTGTGCAGTCTGCATGCTATCTGGTTACAAAGAGCAGTGTGTCAGAGCTGTGAAACTCCAGCTGTGCGGAGAGCTAGGAAAGAATTCTGGGTCCTTCCAGCCAAAAACGGTCCAGAGTGCACATGCTCTCTGCCCTACAGCTTGAGAGACCTAAACCCTACTTCACTGGAGAGCCAAGGGCAGACTAATGCAAACTTTCAGTCCTGTGTAGCTGTCAGTGTGTTCAGCCTGGAACACAGGCCCAGAATAAACAATATTCACCCTAACTGACAGACCAGGGCCTAGGCATTAGATATGGATAGTGGGTGAACAAGTACTGCATCAAAGCAGAGATTCCAAACCCATCCTGAGGTGTGCTCAGGTACCTCTGCAGACGTTACACAGGCAACTTAGCTCACAAATTAACACCACATTATGTGTATGACTTCACAAAGTCAGGTGGGAACACTACAAATCTGCAAAGGAAAGCCCTCGTCTAAGACAAGATGTTCACAATGCTCCTCACAGCAGAGCCTACTGCAGGTCCCTAGCTGGCTCTACTGGAACAGTGACATGTAAAGCAAAGGGAGTAAAGTGCTGTTATTGATTTTAGGTTTGGGAAGTCTTGTCAGCAGTCCCAAACTCATGAGTGAAAATCCCATGAAGTTCTCTACTTCCTAGACATTACAGCCTATTCTGGCTAGGGTGATGTCTGCATCTTCCCTTACCTTCAGTTCCCTATAAGCAAGATCACTATTCATCAGATGAAACTGCAGGATGTCCTTTTTCTTCAGACGCTGATCTAATTCACAGAGAAGAATGGATTCATTTTCTATTGGTAACACAATTTCCAAAGCAGTCCTTAAGGAGTTCGTTCTACAAGAAAAGTAACAAAACATGAACTAGGAACGCAAGCAAGAAAAGACACTCAACATTTTACAGCACAAAAAGCCACAAAGATAATATAAGTGCCTGTCTAATAGATCTGATCCTCCTGAGGCCAAAGGAGTTTTTATTTGATTAATAAAAAATGCAGTGTGAACTGCAGTGAATTTAAACAAAAAATGAAAGTAAATAACAGCAATCTATGGCAATATTGCACAGTGATGCTACAAAGATCTGGCTCTGTGCTTCTTGGGGTGATTCACACCATCTACCATGTGTATATGAACAAAGAAAAATTAAGAAACGCTTAATTTTATGCAATTAAAAATAGGTTAAAAATGTGCAGGTATTTTCTGTGACACACAGTATTCCCTTCATAACACACACATTAGTTACAATGAAGTATTCCTTGGCTAATATCATAAAGTGTTAGTTTATACCTGATACTTATACTATCCTGGAGCTCTTTCCACTCTCCTTGCAGCTTGTTTCTTGTCTCAGAGATAGCAGTCTGCTGCACTGCAACCACGAGATTTTCTAATGTAGATAAGATGTTTTCCAATTGTGTCCAACCAGAACTGATTTCACTCTCTATCACCTAAAAGATAAGCAGAACTAAATGCATTAATAGGATCCTGTATTTCTCAGTGGACTGCACAGTTCATAAAAATACAGTCACAAGAGTCTCTACAAAAACTGAAAACCTCATTTGAAAGTAGGAGTATCTATTACCTTTGTTTTCCATTTAAGACATGATTTTTAGCTGCATGCAAATCTCTAGCAACTTTTTATGATGAAAATTTCCATGACAGATGTATGCCATGGTTACATTTGATAAAGGGTTCAATAAACATGGTTCAGCCATTTCTACTACAAGAATTAAAATATCTCAACTTAGCTACATTCAAAAGAAAAAAACAACAAATGCAGAACTGAACTAAGTTCTGAGATGCTAGATAAGCTTTATACTCCCTTCAAGCAAGGCCTTGAAAAACCACAGTAATAAATTCTCCAGTGTCAATTATGTGCTTTTTGTCATCCCCTTAAGGATCTCACAAACCTAACCAAGTTACAAGTCCTGAAACAGTTCCATTCTGCACATGCAGCACTGCCACCTGATGGTTCCACTCTGAGGACTACTCCAGCCC